CGATCTCTTGATCGTGACCGAGTGATCCACCCACCTTGGCCTCCCGGAGTGCTGGGATTACAGGCATGAGCCACTGCGACTGGCCTAGTAGTTGTATTTTTAAGGGTGTTTTGTTGGTCTTGTTTTGTTTCTTAGGTAGAAACGGAGTCTTGCTGTGTTGCCCAGACTGATCTCAAACTCCCAGCCTCAAGCAATCCTCCTGCCTTGGCTTCCCAATGTGCTGCATTACGAGCATGAGCCACCTCATTTGGCCTATTTTCAGTCTTTTGAGGAACCTCCATACTGTTTTCCATAATGGCTGTACTAATTTCAGGTTTTTGTTTGCCCCCAATTTTAAAACTATTCACCTAAGTGCCTCTAATCCCAGCACTTTGGGAGGCCGAGGTGGGTGAGATTAGTAGTTTGAGACCAGCCTGGCCAACATGATGAAACCCCATCTCTTCTAAAAATACAAAAAATTAGCTGGGCATGGCCAGGCACGGTGGCTCATACCTATAATCCCAGCACTTTGGGAGGCCGAGGCAGGCGGATCACCTGAGGTCAGGAGTTCAAGATCAGCCTGGCCAACATGGTGAAACTACGTCTCTACTAAAAATAAAAAATTGGCTGAGCATGGTAGCAGGTGCCTGTAATCCCAGCTACTAAGGAGGCTGAGGCAGGAGAATTGCTTGAACCCGGGAGGCAGAGGTCGCAGTGAGCCAAGACTGCACCACTACAATCCAGCCTGGGTCACAGAGCAAGACTCTATTGCAAAAAAAAAAAAAAAAAATTAGCTAGGCGTGGTAGCGGGCACCTGTAACCCCAGCTACTCAGGAGGCTGAGGCAGGAGAATTGCTTGAGCCTGGGAGGTGGAGGTTGCAGTGAGCCAAGATCGTGCCACTGCACTCCAGCCTGGGTGACAGAGCAAGACTCCATCTCAAAAACAAACAAACAAAAAAGGCCAGGCACGGTGGCTTACGCCTGTAATCCCTACAATTTGGGAGGCCGAGGTGGGTGAATCACCTGAGGTCAGGAGTTCAAGACCAGCCTGGCCAACATGATGAAACCCCGTCTCTACTAAAACTACAAAAAATTAGCTGGGCGTGGTGATGCACGCCTATAATCCCAGCTACTCAGGAGGCTAAGGCAGGAGAATCACTTGAACCCAGGAGGTGGAGATTGCAATGAGCCAAAATCATGCCACTGCACTCCAGCCTAGGCAACAAGAGCAAAAACTCCGTCTCAAAGGAAAAAATAAAACAATATGGAGTAGAGGAAAGGTGGCACATGGGCTAAAAGATAAAAGTGATGTTTTCCCTTTGGTCTAATGAACTTATTGCCATAGGGCAGAGAAAAATAAACATGTTCATACCCGCACATCTTTGCAAATAACTGAATCTTGATAAAGTAGAAAGGCAGCTTTAAAAACAGACTATGGGGTGTTAGTATGAAAGCCTTTATGTTTTAATTCAGAGGGCTGTCCCATGCTTAGATTCTCTCTCCTGTCGCTACTCTTATCAAGGAGGAAAAATGTAGAGGCCTGATAGAAGAGAAAAGATACCTTTTAACTATCTGAGTCCATCTGGCTAAAAAGATTTTTAGGTGTCTTTAGCTTTACCCCCACCTCAGTGTCTGGCTGGATCATTTGAGGCCAGGTGGGAACTGGGAATTAAATGTTGTATTTGTTCAGACTCTTGCCTAGCTCTAGGTAAGGTTGAACCTTTGGCTTTAAGCCTCAAGTTCTACTATTTTTCTTCCCTGTGTGCAAAGGTGCTCTCGCCAACAAAGTGAAGAGGAAAGACACACTGGCAATGAAGTTGAACCACAGACCCAGTGAACCAGAGTTGAACCTGAATTCTTGGCCTTGTAAAAGCAAGGAGGAGTGGAATGAAATACGGCACCAGATTGGAAACACACTGATCCGGTAGGCCTTTGCTTAGATTCGCTTGATTGATTTGGTTATGCCAGTATTTGTGTTAGATGTTGTTAGATGTGTTGGTTTTTTATTTTGTTTTGTTTTGTTTTTTTGAGACAGTCTTGCTCTGTCACCCAGGCTGGAGTACAGTGGCGCGATCTCAGCTCACTGTAACCTCCATCTCCCAGGTTCAAGCAATTCTCGTGCCTCAGTCTCCTGAGTAGCTGGGGTTATAGGCACCCGCCACCACGCCAGGCTAATTTTGTATTTTTAGCAGAGACAGGGTTTCGCCATGTTGACTAAGCTGGTCTCGAACTGCTGGCCGCAAATGATCACCCACCTTGGCCTCCCAAAATGCTGGGATTACAGGCATGATCCCCTATACCTAGCCTATATGTTTACTTTGTCATGGAGTATTCATTTATCTTTTTTAGTGTAATTTTTTGAACCACTGGAGTGCAGTGGTTCGATCATGGCTCACCGCCTCCAACTCTTGGGTTCAAGGCACCCTCCCACCTCAGCCTCTTGAATAGCTGGGTCCTCAGGCATGCGCCACCATGCCCTGCTAATTTTTATAATTTTTTGTAGAGACAGGGTCTGTGCCTCCCAGGCTGGTCTCGAACTCATGGCCTCAAACATTCCTCCCACGTTGCTCTCCGAAAGTCTTGGGATTGTAGGTGTGAGCCACCACACCCATCATTTTGAGTATAATTTTTAAAAATACATACTGGGTTTTGTATGACAGGTGAGAAGGTTAGCACTCCACTTGACAAGGATGGAGAGTCCCTTTGGGCCTGACAACACACATA